GCCGGTCACGTGCGCTGTGTCCTGGGACTGCTGGCCACATTTATCCCCAGGAGCTCGGTCTCGTGGACAAGAAGGCAGGCACGATGGCTCCCCACGTGACCACCCCAATGCCCATCACGGAACAACGAGCCTGCTCTCGGGACGTTCCCACAGTAAGAGTACGGGACCAGACAGCAGACACCCCCACACCACTGGGGCCGGGCTCAGGGGATGGGCAAAACCCACCTGTGGCACTAAAAGTAGGGGCGGTGGTTGTGGCTGGGTGTCCGGGGGTCAAGATTGGTCTGTCTGGAGGGCGCCCCCCGTTTTCCCCGGTGCCTGGCACTTTGGGCCAATGCACGGGATGATGCCAGGAGACCACACAACACAAGGCCAAAATGCTATCCTGAGGCTCTGGACCGCAGACAGTTAAAGGGGAAGGCAGACCTCAGGACCGGACGGCACAGAGGCAGGTGTGCTAATGAGATGAGCCAGGGCCTGCAGGCAGAAAACCAGAGGGACGCCCGTGCCAGCTTCCCCCACACTGGGAGAACTGGTGACAGAGTGGGTGATGCCTTGGGCTGCTGACCACGAGGTCAATGGTTCAAGCCACCCAGCTGCTCCCCAGAAGGATGTTGCTTGGGCTTCAGTGCAGACCAGCAGAAACCCAGGGGGGCAGCTCTGCTCTGTGCAGGGGCCCCTCTGAGTCAAAATGGATGCGGTGGGCATGAGCTCAGGCTTGGAGAGGTGGGCGGAGTACAGCCCGACAGACACAGGAAACTCCAGAGAAGACAGAAGCTGTGCCCAGCTGCTGCTTCAGGAGACCAGAAAGAACCCGAGGGTGTTCGACTTTTCTGCAGGAGGGGTAGCAGTGACCCGGAACTGACGGCATTGAAGGAAGACGTTGAAGCCGCACAGAAGACACTGGCCGTGAACTGACAGAAGGGGCATCACGACGTCTCAACGTGGATGCAACACGGGGGCTCCCGCTTACCCACGCCCACGCCGAGAAGAGCCTGTGCCGGCTACCTGGCCAGCGGGCTGGCCGAGACCCGTATTCGTGCCCCTTCCAAAGAAAGGTGATCCAGCTAAGAGTGTCATTAACATCAGCCCAAGTAAAACTGCTGAGGGTACTAAAAATGAAATGGACGCAGCAGCACGTTACAGGGGCTGTAGACATGCCAGCCAGATCAGGAGACGGCACGGAAGGGGCGTCATTGCTGAAGACAGAAAATTCTAGAAAGATGTTTATCTGACTGCTGCTGTGAGGTGCCCAGTCGGTTCCGACCCCTAGAGACCTCGCCTGATGGAAGGAAACACTGGCCGGGCCAGCGCCAGCCCCACCGTGGTTCCCACCCTTGGGCCCGTGGAAGTAGCCATGGCGTCCCCATCTCCGCTAGGGCCACCCTTCCCCTTTACCAGGCCGGATGTCCTTCTCCAGGGACTGCTCTCTCCTGACAGCGTGTGCAAAGTGTGTGAGACGAAGTCTCCTGCCTGCGCACCTCCGAGGGGCACTGTCTGCTGTGGTGGTTCTTTTACAGCTGTGGGACCTTCAACCTTCTTCTCCTGCTCCCTGCTCCCCACGCCCCGCTCCCTCTCTGGTCTTCCCAGTCAAGGAAGACTTCGACGCCCACAGGGCAGCCCGTGGGGGTCTCCAGAACAGTCCGTGTGCAGCTGAGCTCCAGCCGAGAGGCAGTCGCTGAGCAGAACAGAGGGACACTGAGTGCGTGGTCGAAATCAGGAAAGGCGTGTCCCCTTGTGCCCTCTCACTGGACTTATCCAATCCGTGCGCTGGACAAGTCATCTGACAGCGGGACTCCCACGAGGAACGCATCAGGAAGACGCGTCAACAACCCGAGATACGCAGGGGCGGCCCAGGAGGGGGCCTGATGCAGGAGGACTTAGGGGTGAAGGTCAAAGACCTCAGCCTTCAGTGTGGTTCCCACCTCCACTGACCACCGGGCCGCTCCGACGGGCGTGTCTCAGACTCCCTTTCACTCAGGTCCACGGCCAACACCCGTGGAAGCAGCAGCTGAGAAACCCAAGCAAGGCTGCCCTCTGAGGACGCGGGGCGCCTGACCCAGGCCATGGTGCGCAACCCCCTCACCTGTGTCGGGTGAGGGCCAGACAGTGAATAGGTGACCGGAGAAGAACCGATGGCTTCCTTAGCAGGATGGGGAAGAATACTGACCACACGGGGCGGCCCTCTGTGAGCCCATCGGTCGGGAGGAAGGGCAGCAGTATGCGGCTTACATGTGAGGACAGCTTCACCTCCCGCACTTTGGGCCTGTGATCAGGAGGGGCCAGTCCCTGCAGGAACCCATCATAGCGGGTGATGTGGAGGGCTCCTGGGGGTCTGCTATGATGAGCCCAGGCATAAGGAGGACTGGGCGGCGGGCGCAGGGCCAGGCTGTGTTTGTGGTCCTGGGGCGCCACTATGGGTCGGTTCCCATGCAGCCACACCTAATCCAACGGCACGTGGGTACTGAGTCAGGATGTGTGCCCTTACCACACATAGGAAGCCTCCACTTTTAAAAACCAGCTGCTGTGGCCGTGTGGCCGGTTCTGTGGGCCAGCCTCTAGGAGGGCCTCCTGTAAAGGGACTGCTCTTGTCCTCACGGCCATTGGGCAAGGTGGGCGTCAGAATAGACCCAGCGAGAACAGGGCCCCTGGTTCCCTCGGGTGCAGGGCTCAGCCTGCTTGAGTGAGCCGTGTGGCAGGAGCCCCATCCAGGAGGTGAGCGGTGAGCAAGGGCCGAGCAGTGAGGCCGCACCCCACCCCACCCACAACCACACGGGGCTCAGGGACTCAGTTGCCTGAGCTGGGCCTGGAGGGGGACCTGCGTGCTGGCCATCTCGCTGCTCAGAGAGGGCAGAGGCCAGGGGACGGCCGTGAAGAGGTGGGGGTGGCCTTACCTGCCATGGGCTTCACCTGCACCAGGTAGCCAAGGCCACTGTCCTCCACCTCCCTCCACGTCATCTGTAGCCGGTCCTCGGACAGCACAGACAGCCTCAGGCCTCTCGCTGAGAAGACAGGACCGATGTCAGGTCAGGGCTCAGCCCACCTCTCCCCAACCAGCTGAGCGGGGCCCAATCTCTGCATGACCGGTCTGAAGGGACAAGGCCTGCGCTGAGAGGTGGAGGGGCCCCTCCCCTCCAAGGGCAAGAGGATGACAGGGTAGCTTCAGTGAGAGCAGTGTGGGGGCCGGGGCGGGGGACTCAGCAGCTGCCCCCAGAAGTCTGCCTGAGTCTGGGAGCCAAGGGCAGCTGTGCAGCTGCAGAACCCCTCCTGCCCCAGCCTAGTCACGGAGGGGTGATCCCCGGGAAGGAGGTGGGAGTGAGCAGCATGTGGCTCCACTGTGGCCCGCTGGGCATGGTCAGAGATGCAGCCTCACAAAGGGCCGTCCAGGGCGGGAGACGGGTGCAGAGGAAGCTGACCTCCGGCACCAGGAGGAACGGCTCCTCAGGAAGTTTCCGGGGCCGGAGGGCTATTTTGGGAACCAGGGACAGAGAGGGCTTCTTCTGGCAGCCCCAGGCACTGGGGTGCCCCCAGGGGGGTGGGGTGGGGCACACAAAGGCAGGATTCAGGCGTTGCCCCAGGAGTTGGGGGCAGAGGGGCCAGCTGTGTGCCAGGCAGCTCTGGATCATGAACAGCCGTCTGTTCCCGAGCTCTGAACCCATCTAGGACACTGGGGGCCCCAGCCTTGTCCAGACAGCAACAGCAGAATGGGACCCCCAGCCACATTCCAGCCTCCAAGAGTACATCTCTCCCAACCCCATGGCTCTTTACTCAGTTTCTCCCTGAGGCCCAGGTCACAACCCCTATGTGAGCATGGGGAACCCTATGGGCAATCCCACCTGCTGTGTCCAGCCAGGGAAGAGGCCGGGCCTTCGACTGGAGGGCCAGCAGAGGCCGCGTTTGGCCAGACCAGGCACCCCCACCTGCAGTGCCCCAGAGGCCCTTCAGATAGACCGACAGACAGGAGTGGAAGCTGTCCTTGAGCCCCCTGGGAAACAGAGCCAAATAGGGCTGAGTCTTGCCCACCTCCCCAGACCCAGACCCTGGTCTGCTGGGAGGGCAGAGGGTGGGAAAGGTCTGCACAGAGCCTTCTGGAAGCACAGCGGCACCCCTGCTGGGCCCAGCGTCCCACCCAGCACCCCCACCCCCACCAAGTTGTCTGCTTGGTCTTGGGGGCCAAAGTCTGTGAGCTGCTGCCGGTGGGTGGGCGCAGTCGGGGAGGTGCTGGAAGAACTGCCTCCCCAGAAGGGCTCCCAAAGGGGCACCTTCACCCTCACAGACAAGCGGGACTTGCCTGAGTACATGCTGGGGAGGGGAGGAGTCTGCAGTCCCTAAAGCACTGGACTGTGGAGTGGGATCTGGACACTGGGAGCCGCAGAGACCCAGACCCAGACGGGTCACCTGTCTGCTCCAACCACTCAGTGGCCTACAGTGTGGCTGATGAGAGCGAGGCGGGGCCACTGTTGGTTCCGCCAGACCTTACCTAGGCCCAGCCCGCTACCCAGGGCAGCACCCAGCCACAGGCCCAGGCAGACGCACAGGTTCATGGTACTCGGCCTGCGAGGGGGAGGAAGAAAGGTGACTGGCCCTGGGCACCCAGCAGACGGTCTGTTACCCCCGGCCACCTCCTCCCATTAACCCGTGCCGGAGCTCCAGCTGCTCCCACTGCAGGCTCAGGGTCTGCTGGGATGATGACCCCCTGTCCCCTCCACTTCTGAGGGTCTCCCAGTGACCCCTGGGCCCTCCCCTGAACCCTGATGCTGCCGGGAGGCTCTGGAGAGTCTGAGGAAGTCCCACCTGCAACATCCCCAGGTCCGGAGTGATAGCCCCCACCCCCACGAGGCCAGCCCCTCACTGACCACTCTTCCCCCTCCCTGGGAGCACCCCCACAGAAGTGAGCCCCGCAAAGGAACACCCCAGCCCAGAGGGCCTGGCCAGGCTGAGGTCTTGGCCTTCCTATAGTGACCCTGCCTGGCTGGCGGAATCTCCCAGAACCACAGGGTGGCCACACCTGCTCTTAGTCCCATACCGTCCCTCCTTTGGGCACTGTCCCGAGACCCCCAGAGGGTCAGTGAGTGGCCAGGGCCACAACCACCCCATCTTCCCAGGTCCTGTCTCCCCAGCTCCTGAGCCCCCCCTCTGCCCCCATCAGAAGTCCCAGACCTGCAGAGACAGGGCCAAGCCCCCCTGCCTCCTCCTCTTCCTTCGAGGATGGCCACTCCGTCCAGCTCTGGCCACTGGCTGACAGGGCTTTATGTGGAAGTGTCACCACCCAGCCAACCCCTCAGCTCCTCCCCTTCAGGCCAGCCCTCCTGAGGGACGCTGGCACCAGCTGAGGGGCCAACCCCCTCAGTCTGGGGCTCGCACCAAAGGGGTTCATGAAGAAGCTGCTCAAGACTGACCATCAGGGTGGCCAGGTGAGGGACACAGGTGGTCCACTTGGTCATCCTTGCCTTGAGCCCTGGCCCCTCAGGGGGGCAGCCATGTCCTCTGGGGCACCGGGGCTGAACTACCATAGTGCGTGTGGGCTCGGCCTGGCCAGCCCAGGGGACTAAAGCCCCACGTGGTCGAAGGTGGAGCGACCTGACCTGGAAATGCTTGGGAGGCAGTACAGCGGAGTCCTGGGAGCAGAAGTTGCTCATTGAACTGCTAACCACAGGGCCAGCAGTTCAAAACCACCAGCCGCTCTAAGGGCGAGCTACAAGGCTCTGGGCTCCTGGAAGTCCCGGGACATTGCCCCCTGTCCTGAATCAACTCGATGGCAGTGGGTGCTTGTCTGGGATTTTCAGATCATGCCAGTGTCCCAGCTGACCCCAGCACTGCCTGCACAGACATCTGGCCCTATGGGGAGCCCCCTAAGCTGCAGAGACTGGGAGGGCACAGAATGCCAAGGCCGCTGAGGCTCAGGGCCTTCTGTCCCTCCCAAGCCTGCACACCTGCCCCACGTGGGGACTGCGCAGCCACACCCTCCCCAGCAGTCAGGAGCCCACAGGAGGCATCGCCCTGGGCTGTGGGCACACGGGTGAGGCAGCACTTCATGGTCCAGAAGCCCAGGGTTGGAAAGTCTCTCTCCACCCCTCTCCCTGGGAGGCTTCACACTGCACCTGCATACCAGGGACTGAGACCCAAGCGACCCCCTGCAGGACGTGGGGTTTCAGGACCCCCAATACTGGCTGTCCTGAGTGCTAGTGTCCCACGAGCCTGGGCTCAGCTCCCAGAAAGGGCTTTCAGGGACGTGCCCCCCAAACCCAGAGACCCCTGGAGGTCCTAGCTGTTGAGTGAGCTGCAGTGAACTCCAGGAGCTGAGGTCACTGCTGTCGGACCTGACAGCCTGGCAAGGAGACAGGGAGTCAAGAGACCCACTACCCTGAGGGCACAGGGCAGGAAGGTCTCCTGGCTGGCTGTAGGCTTGTGGCCTCCTCCTAGCTGAGATCCCAGCAGCTCCCGCAGACCTGCACCAGGGCCAGCATTAGTGCCAGGCTGAGTGAGCCCCACGAGGCACTCACCCACAGGCGCTGGTGCCCCATCTATTCAAGGGAGGCTTGTCCAGGGTCACAGCTCAGGGTGGATAAGGCCAGGCCAAGCCACCCTGCCCCCAAACCCTGGGGTGTCCCCCCACCAGAGGTGCAAGGCAGGGAGGTGATGGTTAGAACCTCCCGAGCCGGTACAAAGCTCAAACCAGCCGCTCCCTACAGCCACCATCGTGGGCTCCCCCACCGACCCCTGCTTTCCCCTTCTACTGAAGCTTCTGTCCAGCTAGCAGAACCCCAGGGAACCCCAATCCCCCACCCAATAAGCCTTGAACTGCATGCCCTCCCTGATGTCTCCCCAACACCCCTACTAGCTTGAGCCACCCTCAGGCTATCCTACATCCAACTTAGACATTTGTCAGCAAATGGGGTGACCACAGGTCATGGTCCCCATACTGCCCCAGGGAGAAGTGGGGTGGCAACAGCCTGGGTCCATCTTCAGTCACTCAGTTGACGGCCCAGTCCAGTGGGCCCATCTTCAGTCACACAACTGCCAGTCCACTGTCCATGTGCTGTACTTAGCTCCCACAGCAGGGCATCCAGGCACCGGGTTGCCTGCAGGGACCCACTGTGGACAGCCCTGCAGGGCAGCGGGCCTCACACGGATCCCAGAAGCTCCCAGGCTCCCATGGCATTCCCATGGGACCTTGGGCCACTCTGTCATGCAAGCGAGAGTGACGAAGTCATCCTGGTGGACCAATCAGTGGCCTGCTCAGACAGCTCAGTTTTCGTGGGAAGCCGCTGTCCCACCTGCGATGTGTGCTACCACCTGGTGGGGATCTGTGCCACTGCACACATCTGAAGTAAGGCCTGCCCCCAAATTCATCCAGGAGCCCCTACACTCTATCACACGCACCCCACCTCCCATAGGATGCTTTCCCCTGGATCTCGGCGGGCCTCTCATCCCGAGAACAGTGGTGGAACCAGCCAAAGCAGAGAATATCAAGTCGTGAGAACGGAAGGGGTCCTTTCTTCCATGAAGGGCACTGGGGCCCAAGGGGAGGGGTGTAGGAACAGACACACATGTGGACGGTCCAGCTCGGGGACTAGACCCTGGTCAGTGGCACTCATCATGGCTGCAGCTGTGGCCCCGGGCCTGCCCTTGCTCCCCCCGTTGGCCGAGGGCATGGGTGTCCACAGGGCAGTTGCACCCCCGGGTGCTGCAGGCTGAGGGGAGACCCGGGGTCTCTCTTCCCATCGTCAGAGGGCTGCGGAGACCTGGCTCATGATCCAGGGGCAGCCAGCTGGGAGAGGACACCACACACCACATGCCCCTTTCGCCTGAGGGCAGGTGGCCCAGGGCCCTGGGCACATGCAGCGAGTCTGCCCAGTAAGGCGGTGACAATAAAACAGCATGGGGTCCCACCCTGGCACGTGGGCAGGACCACCAAAGGGAGAGTTCTAGAAGCGGGGCTGGGGAGGGGCGGCAGGCAGCATGCTGTGGAGGGCAGGAGGCCGAGCAGCAGGCACGGGGTGGGTGGCACTGAGGCTGAGGGCTGAGCCCCCAGGCAGGCCAGCGGGCTCGGGGGCCAGACTTTACGTGCACCCAGGTAAAGGCCGCAGAGGCGGTAGGTGGGTCCGTCCTCCCACCCGGGCGAGGCTCTCCAGGGAAGGCCTGGGGTAACGCCCAAACAGCCACCAGGTTGTGAGACCCATGTGGAGACTGGACAGCCCAGAGGTTTGCTGCCCACGTGCAACTGGGGGATGAGGCTGAGGGGAGGGCAGGGCCGGCTAGGGGTTATCTCCAAAGAAAGGGGCTCCAGTGGGGCCCTCAGTGGGGGCTGCTCCGCAGGCGGCAGTAGCGCTCAGCACCTGCCCTGCCGCTGGGGTGTCCCTTTATTGGACGGCCTCGGGGCCGAGAGCCCAGGGGAGTGTGCTCACCTGACCAGGGCATCTGGACCCAGGGGACTGGGAGGCTGCTGCTCATTGGGTGGGGGTGATGTCTCAGGACTTGGAGGGGGGGCAGCACTAGGGCAGAGGGCAGAGAGCGGGGCAGCTACCAGTCCTGATTGTCCCAGCCCTCATCAGTGGGCGCAGGGGGCGGCGCTGGCTTGTGGATGGCCCTGGCCCGGCCCTCCCCGGCAGCGCCCTCCCAGTGCTCCCAGCCGTCACTGTTGCTGTCCCTGTGGTTGGAGCCGGTGCCCGAGCCCCACACGTCCCAGCTGTCCGAGCTCCGGTGCTCCGTCGAATTGTCGGCACACGTCCAGCTGCTGCTGCTTGGGGACTGGCGGGCTCGTGGGGCCTCGGCGCTGCCGAAGGTCTCCCAGAAGCTCTGGCTGACAGCGCCGCCCTGCCCATGGTCCCCGCTGCTGTTCTGGTAGCTGCTGCCCTCCGGGGGTCTACAAGAAAGCCTGTCACTGCCACCTCCTCCGAGGGCACCCGAGTCTCGTCCACACGATGCTGGGGGCTCCCACCAGGGCTCACCTGTCGCCAGGCTCCTCGGCTTTTCCAGAGAAGAAGGTTGTCATGTCTCGCCAGCCCTTAGTGCCCACACCCTGGACCTGGGGGACACCCGGCAGTGAGCTGTGCACAGCCCTACACTCGATACACAGATTCACACGCGTGACAGGCACACAGCCCCCCCCACACCGTATACAAGTCCACACATGCAACATGCACACAGCCCCACGTTACATACAGCCACGCACAGGTTACACAGCCCCACAATTATCCAAGGCCATACATGTGACACCGCTTGCACACATCACATGCAGTCCCATACTGACTAGTCACCCACGGTACACACAGCCTCACACACGTTCCATGTAACCCTGTAAGGTTACACAAAGCCCCACAAGTGTTACATGCGGCCCTACACACATTACACATGCACATTACACACAGCCCAGTAGGGCATTCCACACGGCCCCACACGTCACACACGTGCCTCTGAGCAGAAGCCACTATTGCTCCGTCTCCCCCGCACCCGTGTGCCCGGCACAGGCTGTGCTCAGGGCTCCCAGTGTCCCCCTGGCCGCCACTGAGACCAGCCCAGAGGGTCACGGAGCAGAAGGAAAGGCCCTGCGCCAGCGTGGGCCCCTCCAACACGCGCCACTCACCAGGAGGCCGGCGGCCGCGGGAAAGCACAAGGGAGAGAGGCGACAGTTAAGGAGGGTGCGGGAGCCCGTAAAGCCATTTCTACGCTCCACGCCGTCAGCAGCCCGCATCTAAAGGACGCTGCGGCTGCCAAGCGGGGGTTGGACAGGAACACGGAAACTGGCTTTGCCTGGGTCCGTGGGCCAGGTCGCCTACCTTGGATGCGAGCTGAGACACCCCGCTGGACATGTCGTCCAGAATCCTCCCCTCCTTCACCTGTGGGCAGACGGGATAATGGGCAGAGCCTCAGGCAGGCGCGGTGGGAGGATCCCCCCGCCTGCACGTGACCCAGGGACGGTGACAATGGGGAGCGGGGACCCCATGGTGGGGTGGGCGTAGGGGGGCTCTGCAGGCCCTGAGGCCGTTGCGCTGGCCCCTGCAGCAGGGACACGTGATACTACAGTGCTCACACCCACAGGACCTGTTAACAACATGTCCGCATCGTGCTCAGGGACCCCAGGGGTGGCGGTGCTGACAGCGGGGATGGAAAGTAAAGCGGAGCCCACAGACGCAGGCAGGAGAGGGCGCAGCTGAGGCGAGGGGGGTGCAGTCAGAGGGTTAGGAGAAAGAAGTGAAAAACAGCAGACAGACAGATGCTACACCAGCAGGGCTGGCGGGGAGTTTGGACAGACGTGCAGGGCTGGCAGGGGCCCTTAGGAGCACACGTAGGCTTGGCAGCGGTCATGTGCACAGGGCATTCGCCTCAGCAGCCAGCACAGCGTGCCTGTGCCCTGGCAGACAGCCCCGCACCCTGAGGGGAGGAGTCACGGGGCCGGGAGCTCAGGGCCACAGCCTCAGGAGACACCATGGTCAGTCCACAAAGTGGCACCTGGGCTCTAACGCTCACGAGCAGCCCTCAGAGGGTAGGCACTGGCCTCTCCCCGTCCGGAGGGGAGCAGAGTGAGGACAAGCACAAGACGCACGGAGCCAGGGAGTCCAGCGGACAGACAGACCACAAGTCTGTCTCCACGGCCCGGAGACCAGGGAGCTAGTGGTGCCCGGCTACCAACACCAACGGCTCTGAAAGGGATGCCATCAGGTCAAACCCCTAATGGAGACCAGACCTCCTGGTCAGGCAGCGACCAGCGGGATCCCCGAGACCATGACCCTTAGTCACCCTTTAGGTGGAACTGAGCTCAACCCTCGGCGAGAACCAACCATCCGAGGTCAGAGGGCGGTAAGGAGGCGGGCGAGATGGAAACAGGAAGCACAGGGCAGGAGCAGGGTGGGTGAGGGTGGCACCGCTGAACGCAACACCGTGATGGCATGCTCCCGAGCCCTCGACGAGGGCGTCCACAGAGCAGGGGTTGCTTCCCCTCGGCCCCCACGCGCCCTCCTGGAGGACGGGGTGGCCGGTCACCAGGTACCTTCTCGTGAGCCGGCTTGAGTACATGCTCGTTCAGGCTGTGGCCCAGCTCGGAGGCCTGCGGGGAACAGAAGGCGTCACCCAGGCCGGAGCCCCTCGGCACAGCTCAGCGGTTGAAGGGAGCCCAGATGATGTGCTGGGGCCCAGGCCCACGTTCGGCCTCCAAGGTCGCCAGGGCATCTCCTGGGGCAGCTTCTTGTCCCCAGAGGACACCATGCTGGAAGGGGCACCCACCCACCAGCCAGCCTGAGCGACCCCCATGTGGG